GACAGAGCTTCAAGCTATCTCCCTGGGTAGAGTGCTGTGGCATCACAGCTCACAGCAACCTCCAAATCCTGGGCTCAAGTGAATCTCCTGCCTCAGCCTCCCAAGTCGCTGGGACCACAGGCACCCACCACAATGCCCGGCTATTTTTTGGTTGCAGCCATCACTTTTGTTTGGCGGGTCTGGGCTGGATTTGAACCCGCCACCTTAGGTGTATGTGGCTGGTGCCTTAGCCACTTGAGCCACAGGCGCTGAGCCTGTACTCTCAAATTACTTGCAAAAATCAGTTGTATTTCTATATGCTAGCAAAGTTAGAACATACATAAAATTTTATAGGCCAGTGGAACAAAATTGAGAACTCAGAAACAAATCCACACACTTACAACCAACTGTTAAGTTTCTGACAAATTAGATTTTCATCTTTCACCATATACAAAAACCAACTAAAAATATATGGGTGTCCTAAAGGTCACCATACATAGGAAAAATAATAAACTCACATTATATTTTTAATATTTTTATATTTATATATCAACATGTGAGAAATACTTTGTTAATATTTTATAATGAATATTTTGTACATTTAGCTATAATTTCCCATTTTCCCAATATATGTATATATATGGTGACCTTTGGGAGATCCTGTATATTAAAGACTTAAATGTAAGATGTGAAACTACGAAACTGAAAGAAAATAGAGAAATGCTACAGGACATTGGTCTGGACAATTTTGAGGGAAGGCCCAAAAGTATAGGCAACAAAATCAAAACTAGACAAATGGGATTATATGGAGCTAAAAGACCTCTGCATAGCAAAGGAAAACTAGACAGTGAAGTGACAACCTACAAAATATACAAATATCTGCAAACTATCCAACTGATGAGGGATTAATAACCAGAACACATAAGGAGCTCAAATAATGCAACAATAAAAACCCAAATAATGCAATTTAAGGCCTGAATAGAAAAGACAGACACATGGCCAATACACTCAAAAAATGTTCAACATCACTAATCATCAAGGAAATGTAGACCAAAACCACAATGAGATATCTCATCCCGGTTAGA